TGTCACAAAAAAAAAAAGAAAAAAGAAAATGTATTGACAGAGCCATAGTTATATTTTCATATCACTGTTTCTTCCATATAATCACTGTTACCTAAATAAAAAAATGCTGAAATTGAATACCTATATTTGTGTAAAGATTGAGGCTGTAATTCAGACATTTTAATTTTCTTGCTTCACTTGGGCTCACGATGAACCACAGGTGATAGAGAAAAATCCTTCATATACTACACCCTCCTAAGTATATCTGTGGACAATTCACCATGTTCTACAGAACATGTGCTATTAGAAATATAAAGGTAAATGGAAAATGACCCCCTCCTCCCAAGGAGCTCATCTCGTTTAGTCTTTTATTTAATCTATCCATTAAGGTAGTAATTTCAGCAAATACACATTTATTTCTAAAATCTAAATTTGGCACTTTGTTAGATCTGCCAAATCATTTTTATAGTCTTATGTTACCAGTTTATTTTTAAATTTTACCACTCATCTCTTTAAACATTCCTTATATAATTTTTATATATTTCATATTGGAGGATCCCAATATCTAAAGTCTTGGTCATATAAATATGTTCTTCATTGTTCATTGTTTTTGCTGACTCTGTTAAACTGCTCCTTTTTCTTTTTGTTTAACTTACGTATTATTTTTAATAATTTATTCCTCGTGTTGATTTGAAAGCCTTTTGAGCTTTATATACCTCAACTTTTTTGATGTAATTTCTAAAAATGTAGGTGTGATCAGTTAATTGGTTTTCCTTTTTGTTTCCCTTACTAGTCCAAAGAGAAGATGTGTGAGAACACAGAACCAGTGGAAGCTTCTTCTCAAACCACTACAGCCATACGCACAACAACCACACAGTTCAGGGTCTTAACCACCACCAGAAGGGCAGCCACAGCGCAGCTGCCCACCAGCCTGCCCACAGAAGGTGCCCAAGAGATACTGTGCTTTATTCCTGAAGGAGGGAAAGATCTCTGTGTTGAATGCACTAGAGTAGCTGCTATCCTATAGAGGGAAAGTTAATTCTTTGGCAAACTGGATTTCTAAGGGATTTCTAAAGGAGAAAAAGACAAAATTATTATGGACTAAAAAATATGCACTGGGATTCTTTTATGTCCTGTGCCTTTCCTTAAGACTTAGCATTTGCCAGTGATTCTGCCTTCTTGTCCTTACTAGAAAATCAACATAGACTTCTTTTCATGTGGCTAAATTTTGTAGCAACCAAATTTAACATTGCAGTCATGGGATAAACAGGCAGAATGTCCATTGATATTGTATTGTAAACAATAGATAATTCTACTCAAATACAATTCTAACATTTTCCTGAATACAGCCAATAAAATATGTCAGTCTATAACCTATACAGGAGTTATACGTATAACAAGGACAAGAAATTGTCCTTGAAAAATATTTTCTCTTCTAGGGAAGGCAACACTGATAATGCAGGTGCACAACTCATGGGGGGGAAGATAGAATCATTTACTAACATTTGATAACTTTCTATTTTGAATGGTACCCCTAGGAAGTAATATGGGACTAATAGGCAGAAATATGAGACTAATTGGCCAAGAGTAAGCTTTGAGGGGGAAAAAATGGTTTACTTGTTTATTGTTATATGCATTGTTTTCATTTGAATAGAAAGTTAAATTAAACTTGAAACTTTTGATGGCAATTTAACTTGATATTATAAGGTAACTGGAATAAAGTGAAGTAGAGCGCAGATGCTAAATGCATGTTTTTTTTTACTTTTAAAAGCAATTTACATTTTAATTCATATTATTTTGGATCGTTATGTTAAAGCCTATGAAAATATTTTTGTAATTTAAACCCTATCCTTTAGAATGAAATATAACCCCTGAGATAAAAGAAAGCACATCTTCCCTTTTGTTCATTCAGGACAGGTTTTTTTCAAATATGATTTTGGTCATATTTGTTAGTGGTGAAAAAGCATTTCACCTTTGAAGTTCAATTTGTAAATATTGACAAATCTTCACTATTCCAATTATTCAGGAATTTTCTCAATCTTTAAAAAAGAATAAATAAGGTCATAACTATAGAGTCTAATTACACTGTTATTTTTAAGACATTTATTTTAATAAATGTCTTTTAAGTTGTAATTAGAACTGTTTAATTTTTTCACAAACTTAAGAGTTATGTAATACTTTACTAAAGTCTTGATTGTACAATCTCTGTAAGAAGTGTTAGCACTACATCATGTAAAGCTAGGAAATACTCTCGCTGCACTAGAAATTATCTTAATAAATTATCAAAATCTAGTCATGTTACAATTAAGACAGTTAGCAGACAATTACTAGTCATGAGATTTATGCACCTTTAAAATCTTTTGCTGTTATAATAACTTTGAATTTCTTTTCCAGATGATACCAAGATAGCACTACATCTAAAAGACAATGGAGGTAGGAATTGATACTTTTCTTTTATAAACAAACATTGTTAAATGCTAATTCATTTCATTAATTTTAATATGAGAAAGGACTTATGGGCTTCTAAGTCTAGAGTGAGGATATATTTCATTCCCTGTTGGCATTTAACTTGTGAAGAATTCAGTAAATAGCTTCGAAAAGTGAAATAAAATCCTAATTCTTGCATTTATTTGTGCATAAAACTATGTGACGCCAATTACTAGTTATAAAGCAGAGAATGTATCCACACATCTTGCTATTCTCTGTTGCTCTAGTTGTTGTTGTTTTAGTTGTTTGCATAGTTGTTACACAGCTACAGATATTGGGTTCAATTGTTTTTCACTAACTTGACTTTTTCATTAACACCTTTTATACATAAAATTGAGAAACAAAGCAGTAGGTGTGGAAGTATATTGTGTTAGGTCTTTCTATCTGTTCTAGGAAGCAAATGACAAAAATTAAATATTCAAAAGAACATCTTGTTAGTAACATACTTAAAGTTTTTCTAAAACAATATAGAAATATCTATAACAGTACATGAAAATTTGAGGAAAAAAAGTTCTACTGAAATACTACTGTGTAAGATATTGGCCATATCTTAAAAACCAGTTCTTTCCCTTTTAAACTATGTTAGCTCATGTGTGCTTCTCCCCAGAGCGTGCTGGATCTTGATAAAAGAGATTTGCATTAGTAATTGTTTATTCAGCTTAGGAAAGGGGTCTCCACTTCCTGGCAGCATCTGTTATGTAAATGTAGGCAGATTGTGACGTTGATCTAGTCATGGTTTTACTTTTGCAGCCCTAGATGACTTCTTCAGTAAGTCAAATTGAATATATACATTGTTAGGAAAGTTTTTCTCTATAATTTATGAGAGTAGTTCTTAAATTACTCAGCCAAGGTTAAGTAACCAATACTTACATGCTTTCTTAGGTCACTGTTTATATATGTGTATCTTTAAATTTCATGTCAGTCCATCTGTCAATTGTGCATTATCCTGCATTTCTATTCTAGTGTGTTATTTCATTCATTTCTTGTTAATTATTGTATTAATGCAGTAAGTGGATAGTTTTACAGATGATCATTTGCAACATATATACTAGCTAGAAATAAATTAAAATCTTAGCACTCGAAGGGACATCACCAATCCCGCAATTCAGGATTTCCCAGAGCAGGATGTTATAGTATCATGTGAACATAAATCTTAAAGTTCGGGTTACCTCATTTTGAGAGAGGAGATGGGGTATTAGGTGAATGTTATGGAAGAGGGGTACTCAGTAGGCTTCTGTTGTATTCATTATATTTAATTCTTAATATGGGTGGTAGTTACATGTGTATTTGTTATATTTTCTCAATGTTTTCTTTTCTTTTTTTCCTGTATGCCTAAAATATTCTATAGTGATAACAGAATAAATAAATAAACAAACAAACAAACAAGTAAGTAAGTAAGTAAGTAAAGTAAGGGTTCCTGTGGTCAAAAAGGTGGGAGATACTCCAGGTGAAAGAAAATTTAAAAAATGTACTTGCTGGAGAACACTTCAGAGCCTTTAATGTTCACTTCTTCCTGCTGAATACTTGCTAATTGCAAAGGCTTGCTGCAGCCTTGGGGCTATAGCAATGAACAAGTCTTCAGCAAATGTCCTGCTTCCAGAGAACATTTATTTTAGTGAATCTTCCAGGTGGTTATAAAGGTTTCATATTGGCATTTCTCCACTATTTGGTCTTATTTTTTACAAGCAGCATCTCGTGGACTTAATGTTTTGTGAAATACACTTTGGTTTTTAGGATGTTACCAATTATCCCAAAGAAAATCCTTAGCTTTGTTTAAAGCATCAAAGAATCATAAAACTGAAGATTTTCTTTAAAAAGTGCATTAGAACTGCCTTATGATGCTAAGAAATCAAGTTAAATAAACCCCAAGATTTAAATATGGGAGTTTTTCATAGACTACAGAGTCAACTGTTGGATTTTCAGATGATATTTAGATAATTGATATGCAGCAGATATCCATCAGAATTCCAAAATGTCACAACAAGACTTCAAACTCTTTTCATGTCTGTGGTTCTTTATAAAGCCCTTTTCCTAAAAGTATTCAAATGCAGTTTGAACAGACCAACTTGACCAGTGTTAGGATAAATATTTCTTCAAAAGAGTACTTAAGGGAAGTCACACATTACTTTTTATAGCATCCTTATTAAGATAGTATGCTATCATTGCTTTTTATTTTATGGAATGTGGAGATTCAGGAAGGATTGCCCATTTAAATCTAACTTAATAATTAATTAAGCATGTTGAAAACAGAATTCAGAATTGCTTTTCCCCTCTAGTTTAACATTTTGCAAGACTGAGATAGTAATGAATTAGAAAGCCTACTTTAAATGTTTTCAAAATTTATTGAGATTGATTTTTTTAAAACATGCTAATAAATTTTTGTAAATTGCTATGTATTGTTGCAAAGAAATTTAGCACATTTTATTTCGTTATTTAATTGGCTGTTCTTTTTACTTTAAATAAATTTTATTGTATGTATTTGAGGTTTACAACATGATGTAATGGATACATATAGATAGTGAAATGGTTACAGCAGTGATGCAGATTAACATATCCAGCATTTCACATAGTTACTTTATTGTGTAACTAATTGGCTGTTCTTGAAGTCATTTTAATTTAAACATCTGTACTTTTCTGGAAAAGAGGATGACATTTTTCAAAGTAGTCAATATGTAGCTAGAAACCAATAACTGACTTTCCATACAGTGTCTCCTTTACATATTGGATTACCTCAGGTCGGAGTCTTTTGGGAACATATCTCTGTGCTAAAATAGTTGATTTTCTTAGTGGAATCCACAGCTGACATGATTATACATTCACTTTCTAAGAGATTTTCCTTCACCTTTGATATGAAAGCATAAAATACTTCTGAGCAGCTGGACACCAAAGTCACGCAACAGGGTTTCTCATTCAGAGGACCCAGACTGAGCTACAATCTGCTAAATCACTCCTGATGAATCTTCAATTGAGCATAGTTTCCTGATACATTTAGATTAGGTGTAGGTAGAGGGCCTCTTGGAGTTTCAGCCTACTTGACTGAAAGTTTTATAAACCTTTCGGCTTGAGTGTAAGTTCTAAGCTTTCTAAATTTAGAGAAAAGAGCAAGAAAAAAATCTAAACAAAGGGAATATGTAATGAGTGCAGCTCCCTTGATAAGATATAGCCTTGTTTGACCATTGTCAATGGCTGAATGCAAAAACTCAAAAGAGCCAATTCAAAGACAGCAATTTATCTCCAACTGAAATATTGCTGGTTGCATGTTTATGATATTAAGTTTAATCAAATAGCATGCCTGTTACTTGTTTATGTGAAAAACAGAAGAGAAGCAGAAGAGGAGCAACAGGAGGAAGAGTAGGAGGAAGTAGAAGATGAGGGAGAAGGAAGAATATCTATTGAATGTTTACTGTGTTCCAGGCATCATTCTAAATGCTGTGCATACATTAACTCATTTAACTCACACAACACCCCTGAGTTGATCCTATTATTAGTTCCGTTTTATAGAAATGGTAACAGAGGTACAAAAAGGCTGGGTTCCCTAGCTAGCATGTGTCATAGCTGGGATGTGAATCTGTTTAGCCTTGATGCAGATTCCAAGTCCTTGACAACCTCACAGTATTGCCTCTCCTTGCACTATAGGTCTCTTACAATCAAACCTCACAAGGGAAATACCACAATAAGCTATTTTACTTAAACCTACGATATTATTTTTCCCTTTATTTAACAACTGATTATACTTCCAGGTGTTTGTAATGAAATTTTCTGTTCTCATGTAATTATGCATTAGTTTCCATTTTATCCTTTTTTATGAAAATCATAATGCAGAATTCTCCTGTGTAATTGAGTGATTTCAGAATCATTGGCATGTGGTCTCCAAACTATAGGGCTATCCTGTAGTTTTGTTGAAAATCTAATTTCACATTCTTTTAGCCTTCTTGGTTTCTCTAAAAATTCAGGTTTAATTCACCTGTAAGGGGTACCTACCCTGTTTTCTTTAAATAAATACATTTCTGTGGATAATGGTTATATTCATTTAAAACCACATCTTCTTTGGGTTTTCAAATCATAGCAATAGCTTATTAAACAAGTTTCATTTTTAAGGAATGACCTAGCTATGTATTTTAGCAGGTACAACTATCAAATGCCTTCTTTGATGTTTGATTAGGTTTGCTCCCAAATGGCACTCACAATCTAATTAGAAATGTAAATGTCTTCAAGATGCAAACTGGATAAAGTTATATCCAGGGCTGAAAAAGGCTTGCAGTTTGAATCAATGGCAACCATTTTTAATTAAGAAAATAAAGTCTTCAACCAGATTCAACTCAATTTAGCAAATTGAATTGTGTTACTCTGCTACACTGGAGATATTAAAATTATTTCAAGCTCTAACATCCTGATTTGATTTTATTATTCAAAATTTGTTGACTGATATTTACCAAAGCACCAAAATCTGCATTTTCTCTTGGTTTCTTTAAAGGGTATTCCCTTTGATAGAGTTGTTTCTTTCTAAAACTACTTGAACATAATAAGTCCTTAATTGTTTATAATATTTAAAGTATCAGCACTCCAGACAAACATGATATGTAATGCAGTTGGTTCTGTGTTCATCATTTCTTCTTATTGTTAGGAATTTTACCAGACCCAGACTCTGATAGGGTTAGGGTTAGTTGGTTCTGTGTTCATCATTTCTTCTTATTGTTAGGAATTTTACCAGACCCAGACTCTGAAAGGCTGCATTCTTGAATCAGTGGTTGGTGTCTTCATCAAGGAGGTGCTCAAATCGCTGCATTAAGCAGTTTGCAGAATATGATTAAATTAATTCAGAGGTACAAATCTGCAAAGTGGTTGCTTTCAAAGAGCTAATACAGATATATTTTGAATGAACTGCTATGGAATGGCTGTTCTATATGCTAATTCTGTTGTGTTCAGTTTCCTATTTCTGAACTTAT